CCTTGAATGTCTATTCAACAGATAATGTGCCTTGTTAAAACCTTAACTAAAATAAAATCCAATGGAAAAAAATTCTAGTGAAGGAAAAAGAGTACACATATTCAGCAATACGCCTTTTAGTTGCCTCGTTAAAAACATTTACAAGAAAAATCCAGTGGGACAAAACCTTGTAAAGAATTCTCCCTGGTGAGAGCATCAAAATTCACATCCTTGAACCTTCGCATTCTAATCTTGTGCACCATCTTCTAAAGATCATTGGTAAAGATTTGATAAACAAATAAGCCATATTAACTTGAATGAATATATTGCACCTTTAAATTATCATTCTTGATAGATATGTAATGTATTCATACAACGTCGTGGAATGGCCTTTTCAATGTCTCCATAGAGGCTATCTCTCCATTACATTATCATGATTATAGTTATAGCAAGATACATATGTGCACAAATTGCACTTAGGATGTGATAATCAAGATCAAGAAATTCTCCAAGAATTGTATATGCTATCAGCATTTTAAATCATTCATGGATTGTGATATAAGTATAGTCAAATAAGCCATATAAATAGACTTTAGATACATATCAAGTTTTCATGTCATGCTAGACATATAAAATAGATAAAAGTAGTTGCACACTTTGTTGACTTTATACTTTCAAGTTTTTAAACTGCAGGTCCAAAATTACATATCTTTCATATGAAACCAATTCTACTTGAATTTTTCTCCAGATTTAATATCCTCATATATATTCAGCGTTATTTTAGATGTAGTGGCGAACATCTTATATCGGTTCCAACCTCCTTTTTTTCATAAAGACATAACATAGAGATCTATTCATTCATATTTTCAGGTACCTGGACCCTCCTGAGATTTTATGAAGTGTTATGTCATATACTCTTCTAAAGCACTTGCCTCTTTATTATGATCATTTGCTCCTCTTTTTTATCAAGAATTTATTTGAAACCGATTTGTCTATACGCTTTAAGCGTACCATAGATTTTGTCCTTCTAGGACTTATTCTAATAGGAACATTTACAGTGAGAATATAGTTACATTCTTTCAGTCAGCAAATGCGTCAGGCATGCTTTATAAAATATTGCAGATGAATTATCTTTTTATGAACTTCAAGTTCATAATATCTTATTTGAGGATCTAGATGTACAAACAATAATTCATTCTACGTAACTTTTTCTCAACTATCTATCATATCTCCCCCTCATGTTAGAAAGACTAACTTATTTTCTCAACTTTGAGAACCCATCTTTGTCGTTATGGTGTTAATAAAAATATACACCGCACATCAATATTAATAAGATGGAAATTATTTGGTTCCTGACCTTGAACCACTTGTGAGAGGAGAATGTAATATACTTTCTTATATAACGTATATCAACTGATATAAATAACTTTGTTCTCATAAGTAATAGTTTAGCTATTAAGTAGAGGCACTCAATAAATCATTTTGCTAAACCAATTGCGATGTAACCAACTTATCAAGATGAACTGTCTTGAATAGAAAATCAGGAAATTATACTCTAAGTTAAATTATTGAACAAGTTACCTCACAAACATCAGGTTGCGGGTTATTAATAATCGCACATGTAGCCCAAGGCTGCCCTTCCATAAAGCAACTGCTTTAGGCCCCACATTTGTGGAGGCCCCATTTTTTGTTACACCTAATAGGCTATGTATAAGTTTTTAAAAAATATTTGTGAAGTGAAATGGTTTGATTTCTTTCTTTAACAATTATAGAGAAGAAGGATTTACAACTGCTATGATATTTGCCAAGGAAATTGCACTTGAAATGAATATCGAACCAAATTTCATAAGAAACGTGTGATATATAGGAAGTAATAATTTGATGAGGATGTTAATAATGAAATCTCAAGATCTTTTGAAGAGTCATTTAGAGGACAGGTTATTCACATTTCATTTGATGGTCATATGCGAATTGAAAGCTAAGGAGTGGGATTCCCCGGGGAAAAAATAGAGATGTCTCCTACGTTACCCATTGATTACTTTTATAGAGTAGACAAGACTATTTTTTCACTTCAAAATATATTCGAACAATTCGAAACATATGAAAATATTATTGGTTTTCTATTTAGCGGTAAAAACTAAGACACTAGATGATGGAAATTTAAAAAAATATTGCTTTTAATCTTGAATGTTCCTTAAAGCATAATAATCAATTCGATATTGATGGTTTAGATTTATTTTTTGAATTAAAAGTATTAAGGAAAATAGCACAATTAGAAGATCGCAGTTTAATTGATACACCCAAAATCAAATAAAAAGTTTTGATTCTTTTCCAAATGCCTATATTACTTATGGAATAATATTAATAACTCATGTTACCATTGCTTCAGTCGAAAGAGGTTTTCAAAAATTAAAACTGATAAAATCTTATCTAAGATCAATAATGCTTCAAGAAAGGTTAAGTGGATTAGTTATATTGTCAATTGAGAATTACTTAATACGGGTTGTTGATTATAAAAAATTATTAATAACTTTGTATTTAAGTAAAGCTAGAAAAATAGACTTCAATTAAATAAATAAATAAAAATTTTAAAACAATTAAGGCCCTTATTATAATATTTGGCTTTAGGCCACGAAATTTATTGGGCCGCCCCTGATGTATCCATCTCATAGACGCATCTTATGTGGTATACATGGCAGGTAAATGGACCCATATTCACCTTTGGTATTTCCAGCATTCATGGGATTCAATCCCAATTTTAGTTAGTCTGTTAATTAATGAGAACAAGCAACATGAGAGAATTCGTAAAGAACTTTCTAGTTTCATTAATATTTACCCATGTGAATTTTCTTTTATTTTTGCACATCATATTTAAATTAACATGGTTAAAGCAGCTATGCCAACTGGATAAACTATCAATACTGATAAACTTTAGGTTTACACAGTGACGTGTGCAATTATCAATAAACTCTAAGTTTATTACGATATAGGTTTTTATATCAATAAACTTTTACTTTGTTGTTGCATATTTTTTTATTTTTGTAGTACAAACTGAAAAATAAAATGGATAACTTTTTACATACATATTATCCCGCTACAAGTTGTAGTAAAAGAAGATATTACATCTTTCCTTTATTTATAGTATCAATATAACCAACCGCTTTCGCGAATACTTTAGAAATTATAAAAGTTTCTTTGAGACTTAATTCAACATAATACGTTTTTTATTATCAATTTTATTTCTCCACACCAGTATAATTGGCTCTTCTAGAGCTTTCAATTGATTTGTACTACCACATATTCATCAACATCTATATGGTAAATATATTTTTCATAGAGAAAGTTATACCATCATAGTCATGGTCAGAATCATTATAGGCAAGATATGTTGCTTCCATTACTTTTGCCCTGTAATAATTACATTACCATAATATTTTGGCATAATTACAAGAGGTATGTGATCAATGAATATTCATGCCATAATAATAAAATTATTATTATTTCATCTCAAATCTCTTTCTAGATGTGAATGTGGCATATTCACTACTACTAGCACGTTCATATTCTTCCAAGAATGAATATGTATTCATAAATCACATGTTATCACATTCACATCATAAATGAACCATAGTCATCTATATGTGCTTTACGAAATCTCATGTCAAATCGATGACAAATATTATTTTCACAGAGTGAAGGATTATTTTGAGAATCCTTATTATTCTTATTATCAAAATGATGACGATTATAATTTTATCTATTGTCACGTCCACATCCATTGTTACCTTTATGATAATAATTGTGTCTTCTTTTAGACTTATTACATATTGCTACTACATTCTCTTAAGGGAATGAGAAGGAAGCAAATTCAATGGGACGGGTTTTCATTTCTTGTGCCCACAATCATACATGAATTTGATCATGGCAACGCATAGAAATTTCACCACTTCAGGTGGTTATAACTTCTTGCAACTCTATTAGAGTTATAATCAAAATTTATTGTCTTTGCTTGTATTTAAAATCAAATTATAGAATTTCAAGAATTTAAAAGAGAAAAATAAAGTAAAATACTTACCTTAAATCCAAAATTTAATCATGAAGGACGTTCATAGAATAATTGACAATCTTTATGCTCAATCCCAAAGCTTCTACTCAATTGGTTAGAGTCTCGTAGTGTTATAAAATAATAAAAGAAAAAGAGTATTGCAGAGAAAAGTAGAGAGAGAATTCTAATTGATTTGGGATGAATTACAATGGAATAGAACATCGGAAAAAGCGGCTTAGCCACCAAATAAAAAACCCTAAGATCTCTCTAAAGTATAGAGATTTACCTTAAATATAATCTTATTTATAACAGTTTTTATGAAACCATGTTGTACCTGAAAATCTCCTATAAACAAATACAAAGATTTGGATCAAGGTCGACATCTCTCGCATCGCATGATAAATAAAATTCAAATTTGTTTTGTTGTCTTACCAACTAAATGCTTTACTTTTTCCGATCTCGAATAATTATTTTAGCAAGTTTTTACCTAACGCAGTATAATAATCTTTGAACAAATTGACTCAACAACTGAGGAAGTCTAACACGATCTACTTTATTGATGTAGAGAGAGCACGTTTAGTAGTATTGAATAATTCATAGAGATGACTGGTATAAACTAATTAGTTTCTCTATCATGTCAAAAAACTAATTTAATAAAGGCATAGCTATTTTTATGGGGAAATCTTTAGGAATGAGCATTTGCGATTTCTATAAAGCTTGATTACCAAGAATCTGCCATTTCACCTTTCTTTGAACATAACAAAAATCTTGAACCCTATAATGCCTAAAAGAGTGTCATCTTTGCATTCTGTAAGGGAAGATGACACCTTCGTTTAAACAGGAAATATAAAACACACACACATCGATAGGTAACAAATAAGCTTCTTTTCTTTCATATGACTAGTGTAATTTTTTGACTTGGTGGCAAAAATAAGTTCAGGCTGTCTTTGAGCTCAACTAAATTCCTCATCGAGCAAGAGTAGAATGTAGGCAATTTTACTTGATGTCTATCATACTGCCTGGTCAAAAATAGAAAGTGCTATGGGGTTGCATGAATCAGAAGTTTGACAAAGGTTTCAGTGCCAAATTCATATATCCGCCATCATAGACTTTGAAATTGAGCAGTACTTCTTTTACCAGGACCAACCAGATGCATTTCTAAAAAGAAATATAGCGATTGTATAAAAGTTACAAGCCAAGCCCTAAGCTAATACCACAAGACTCGACTGTCTTAGCAGGCTGAAAACTCACTCTTTGGCCACTGTGCTATAAGCGACAATCTTTACTGCTTTTTCCCTAATCTCAGCATCATCGACCCTTTTCACTATACTAATAACAAACTATGAGTTCTCTCTGTCGATCAATCAATCTTCACTGAGGAGTAGATCTTCCGAACAAACCAGAAGCAAGCACAGAAGCCAATTGTTCCTGTTAACACAAAGAAGGCATATGATGCAATCAACATATAGCCGAAATACAATATGCCTGACACCAGCTTTGAGATCTCCAACTTAGTGAAGAAATAGAAAACGGAGTAGAGAAACAGGTATAAAGCGGAGGATCCAGCTGTAAGATAAGCTCTCCACCACCAGTTATAGTCTTCACTGCACAACTGGAAGTAGCAGAGCACAACAGTTATCTCTGCACATGTGATTATCAAGATCAGGAAAACTATGAAGAGAAAGCCAAAGATGTAGTAGAACTGGTTCAGCCATATGGACGTCAAGATGAAGAATAGCTCGATGAAAACAGCTCCAAATGGAAGAATTCCCCCGATAAGTATCGAAAAGGCTGGTTTCATGTACCATGCTTGCTCTGGTACTTGCCTAGGGATTTTGTTCGTCTTAACAGGGTTTTCAATGGCTGGTTTTTTGTAACCGAGGTAGCTGCCGACAAATACCAAAGGTACCGAAATCCCAAACCATAAACACACTAGAGCCAACATAGTCCCAAATGGCAATGCTCCAGAAGAATGCTCTTCCCAGATGAGAGCATTCAGCACGAAGAAGACGGCAAAAAGTATTCCAGGGAACATGAAAGCAGTTTTCAAAGTAATCCTTTTCCACTCTGTTCCTTTAAACATTTTGTAGAAACGGGCAGAAGAATAGCCAGCTAGCAAGCCCATGAAAACCCATAGTAGAACCATAGCAGTCATAAGCCCACCACGGTTCGAGGGTGATAAGAAACCCAGCAGAGCAAAGATCATCGTCACAAGTGTCATTCCAAGTATTTGGATACCAGTTCCGACATAAACACACAATAAACCATAATTAATAGGAGCGCGGAAAACATCCCCATGAACAAGTTTCCATCCTGTTTCTTCCTGAGCCTCATCTTGTGTTTCCAATTGATTATAGTTTGCAATATCTCTGTACAGAGTTCTCATCATGATCATCGCGACCATACCAGAAAGGAATAGGACAATCATAAGGGAATTTATGATGGAAAACCAGTGAATCTGATCATCATTCATGAGCAGGTATGTATCCCAACGAGAAGCCCATTTTACATCGCTTTCCTGAAGAACAATATAGTAACTAAGATATCTACAGACAAAGAAGAATTTCTCAAGCCTGACATAGGAAGGACAAATGTTTAATAAGAGAATACCTTGAAAGAAACGTCATAGGTGAATACAACCTCCTTATCTGCATCTACTTCTTGGGGAACAGTGCTACCTGGGACTAAATTTTTTGTATTCTCATTGCACGTCGTCACCTGAGGGTTCTTGTCATCCCACTCCTTGTACTCATGATTGATGCTATCAATAAAATCAAGTCAGAAGAGAGCGAAAAAATAAAGAAAAAGACTCATTGTACTCATGATTGATGCGATTGATAAAATCGAGTCAGAAGAGAAAGAAAAAAAGAAAGACACAAGGCGTTGGTGTAAAGCACTGAAACCTGTTTGGCGTCACTTCAAAACCAACGATGCGCGCAGTATCAGTTTCAGGATCCTTGTGGTACATGACTCGGAAGCTCAAGTGGTTGTTGATAAAATATTTCTCCTCTTTGCTCTACCAGAAAGAGAATGCAAAAATAGTTAAGACTAAATCTGCAAGGATTAAACCATCAGTCTATAGCAATTCAAAGATTGCACAAACCCCAGCATAATTCCCCTTGAACCCAACACGGAAACCATGCTCGTAAGTAGTAGATTGAATTCCATCCCGCCTTTGTCTAAGAACAGCAACTGGAAGGTTATCTAGAATCCTGCAGCATCAGATGAATATTCAGTGTAGAATCATAATTCAGGTGCAAGAATATGAGGAGAAATCATGTACAGGAGAGCTAAGTTGTCTTACATATTAACTCTATGGTTTAAATCACGCGCAAAACATGACCCAAAAATCATGCAAAGTAGGATCAAACTAAATTCTTAGGGGACAAGAGTATATTCAATTTAATCTTACATATTGACTCTGTATTCATCATCAATCTTTTCCTTGAAGTTCTTTGCAGATTCAGCATCAAGCTTTTTCTTACAAACGACTTGACATGGTTGTTCTTGTCTCATTTGGAACTGTAAATAATTCAAAAATACAGATATACTCAGCAACTTACACATAAGCAAGTATTACACAAAAAAATCTTTCTTTTTTATCCTTTGGCGGTTATCAGACTAGACAGAAAGAGAAGATCTCCTTACAGTATAAACTGAATTCTCTATGCGGTCCCCTCGAAGAACCTCCCCCAAATTCTCTGCGCTATTCAAAATCTTGGTAGGTCTGCAGTACTTCAAGAAGTAGTAATCATAGGGAAGTTGTGTTTTTGTAGATGACAGCTTGTTCACTTTGACATTAAGGGGATCACCCTGTTAGGGGAAAAAATGTCGAAAAAGAAAGCTAGTTAGAAACAATCAAACATGATAGAGGTAGCAGCAGGATGCATAGAGTTGCCAGATCATTTTCATTATTCAAACAACAGAAGAAATCCCAAAAACCGATGCTAGAACATAGCAAAAATAGTATATTTCAGCTGATTTTCTTTTCTGGTTATTCTACTCCAAGCAGTCAGTCCAAAGTGGTAAGAAAGTGATAGCCCAACAATTTCTTGTATACAATTTCATTACATTCTATGCTTAAACCATTAGAAATTCGCCAAACAACTTCAATCTTTGAGTCAGGTAGTTCAACTGCCAAAGCAACACTAGGGATGATCTTTTTTCTTCTTTTTTTTGATGATGGTGTTTAGGCCAGGCTGCCAGCTTGTGCATATGGACTATTCCACCGCACAGAGGCGGATCCAACATTTAAGCTCTATGAGTTCAGCCTTTAAGATTCTTAATATTGAACCCATTATATTTTTAAAGTTATGGTTCATATCTACAATTTATAGTAATTTTGGTAAATTTATGCGGGTATTGTTTTCCGTTGAACCCGGTAATAATACATTGCATCCGCCTCCGCTACCGGGTACCTGTTATTTCTCACTAGCAGAGTTACCAGATAACTCTGTCCACCAAGGCTTAGACACATGGAAAGGCAACACTATGAATGATCTTTTGATTAAGATTAAGGTCTTCACAGCCTCTTCCTCTCTTGAAATAAGAACTCCAGAGATAAAATATACTCTACATTTCTCTGTTAAGTTCACATAAGCTAACTAAGCTGAAAATACAGATTAGGTATCAATCAAATCTATTCATGTTTATATGCGTTCACTCAAAGCACTTAGATTACCAGAAATGGGGTTGGTATATCAACAAAAATAGATCATCCATCATTGATCATACCCATTACTCGAGAAAAGAAAAAAAAAAAAAGGCGGGGGGGACCTGAATCAAACAGGGCATACTATTTCCTAAAACTTCACCATTGGGTCAAAATCAACAGATCCAAACCCTTTTTAGTCACAAAACTCAACAAGAATGTAATACTAGAGAAATTGCAAAACCCCAAGATTTAAAAAGGGTCTAAATCATACAGTATTTGTTCATAAAAAGTAGAATCCAGCTAAAAAGATACAATAGGATTGGGGCATACAGTTTGAAAATCGCGAGGAGCAACACCGGGGAGATAGAAGGAATTAGCAGAGGAGATGAGGAACAAAAGAGAAATGAAGATGGAACTGAGCTGCACCGATCTTCGCCTACCCATCTTCAGTTGTCGTTACGCCAAATGAGAGAGAAGACTGAACTGTGAACAAATTAGAAGCTTTTCTTATGCACAAAAAACGATTTCCTATTTCCAGGTTCTCCCTTCATAATTCCGCCCCTTTAATTTCCTTTTCCCCCAAAATTTTCCTTTTTCAAATTATTACACTTTCTATTATTTTATTATTATATTCAAAAACAATTTTAACTACTCAAATCTTAAAACTTTAATATATTATGTTCTGTCATCATGCGAACGTTTTTCAACGATATTTGTAATATTTAAAACTAATAAAATATACAAATCAAATTTACATCTTAAACTTCGCATTCTAACAAATATTGTCATATGAGATAAAGCTGGGAGAGTATTAGCTCATTTTACAAGGGGTTTGACCCTTTAATTGTTTCACCAAAATCACTTGTGTTTCTTTGATTAACAATACATCCCCAAAGTCAACAAACATAAAAAGGGAGTTAGAATGAATAAATGAGATACGTCACTTATTTTTATGTGAAATTTTGAGTACCAAGAAACAATGGAGTGTAACATTTGCATTATTCAAATCAAGACAATATATATAGAAAGATATATATAGGTGGGAATAACCAAACTGATGTGGCATGTCTCATATGCAAGAATTCTCATTTATCTTGATTCTCCTTTTTTTGCTTTAAAAAAAACCTTCTTACCACTTTTTATTACTAATTTATTACAATTAATACAATCAATACTAATTCTACCATAATCATCCAATGTACGTTACTATTTCTATTCATATTACTGAATGTAAGTTACAAATTGTAATGGTCACTATAAATACTAAAGCACATCTTCTCCAATACATACCTTTCTTCTTTTTTTCTCATTAATCTTTCTTTTACTTTTCATTCAAACTCTTTATAAAGAAAGAATTTATTTTTCTTGTACCTTTTGATTAGAGAATGATGGTGGGAGAGTGAGAACAAGAAAAGCAGTAAGAGAGAAACTGTTTTGTGGAATTTTCTATTTTTCATGATATTAGTAGGAATGGAAAGGGGAGTTGATTTGCTTCTTTAAGGAAGGATGATAGTTTTTAATTTTCTGGAGGGATTGAAAGATATGAATATGAAAAGCAAATTATACCAGAATAGAAAAAAATATTCTGGTTTACTGATAAATGATAATATATTTTGTTTAATATTTTAGTATCTAGATTTTACTTTCAAGATCAGAATATCCATGTATTATGTTTTATTTATTTATTTTGCAATTTATAGTATTTATTGAATGTTGTTTTATAAAAATAGGTAAAACTTGCGAGGAAAATGATGAATCGAGCATTAAAGTGGCGGGCGGAAGGTTCTTGGCATTCCAGCTGAAATTTTTTCTTCCATTACACTACAAATTATCACAAAAATGTAACGTTTAACTTTCTTTGAAACATGATTTACTTTGTATTTCCTTTTTTTCTAAAAAGAATTAACGGGGAACTGCAAGGATCCATTCATTTTTTAGACTTTGATCTTTTATTTAATTGCTAAGACAGTAGATTTCTCTGTCACCTTATTGACTAATCCATTTTATTGTTGTTAAAATAGTTATGTGCTATTAGGTGCTTCAATATTTAGTCAGTAAATTCTATATTTACTTGAATCTTACAATAACAACACACCCACTCGGAACACTTGTAAGAGTATTTCAATTTTTAAAACGTTATATTAACATCAATTTTAAAATTTTAAGAGGACACTTTACTTCTTTCCTATATATAAAATATGACTAACCCATGTGAATGAGATGATATATTAATTATAAATAAGAAATAGGTATTCAAAGTAATTGTCGTTCCTTTTTCTTGGCTTCCTGGTGATGGCACAAAATATAATAGAAGAACATAATATAAATTCTAGACGTTTTCCTTAAAAAAGTACAAATAAACTTGTAACTTTTCTTTCATATAAAAACTAATAAATTTGAAAAATGTTTTTGTATTTCTAACTCTACTAGTAAACTTTGTATATGCAATGTGACAAAAATAAATACACGAGGTAAGTGAAAACCCTCCCTTCAAACACAAAAGATGTAAAGATTTTTCAAAATTTCTATTTTAGGCTTTTTGTTATGTGACTATTTTTTACTTTTACCTTTTTGTTTGAAACAGAACTATAGGTCATGTTTTAGGATTGGAGTTATACGTATATAACTTAAGACAAAAAAATAGATTATAAATCCTTANATCGTATCAAATTATAAGAGCAAGACCGTTTAAAAAGTTCTAATCGAGAAGAACTCTTGAGAAATATTGAAGTAGCTAATGCACTTTATCAGCGATTCTTGTAAACTAAAAAGGAGACGTTGGAGAAAGAAAAAGAAAAGAGGAGGTATAACTAAGATTATTTAAGACTTGTGATTTTGGAATTTTAATATAGCACGTAAAATGAAAACATATAAGAAGAACTTAATCAAGAGAGTGATTTTTTTTAAAAAAATTTCATGAGTTTAGTAGGAGGCGAAAACTTGGTTGTTTAAGAAAAAGTAACAATTTCTGATTTTATGAAGTAATGAAGGGTGTGAATATTACAAAAAAAGTAGCGTAAATGACAGATAGACAAACAAGAAAAATAACAAAATAAAAAAAGGGTATTTCCAAATGTCAAGGTAATAAGAATATTAAATAGAAAACCTTTTTTGCATCTTCATTATTGAGAAAATCAAAATAAAATTTTCTTTTTATAAAAGTAAGGACAGGTAAAGTAAATTTGGATATAAATTTATTAAATTCCTAAAATTGTGAAAGAGATGTTATTAACCTAAAAAACTACGGAGTACTAGAAATCTCAAGAAAATAATTGAGATGTGAGGGTCAAAATTAAGTGTAGCAATTAGTCATTTTGACAAAATAGAATTTTAAAGCAAACAAATAAACTAAGAATAATTTTTGACTTGATCAATTATTACTTTCTCAAGAAAATACGATTTAATCAGTTGGATGCGCTTCATTATTTTTAATATTTATTTATTAGAGAAAAGATCATGTCGATAATATAACTGTGCGAAGCGCGGACAAATTCACTAATTGATGATAATTTCGAATCTGAGTTTCCAAAACAAGGAAACAGGTACATTGAATTTCAAGCTAGCCTGATTAATCAACTATCTTAGACATTTTGTTAAGCTGATATCTAGAACGTTAAAAGGATAAGTCTTACATGGTGATCCTCAACATTCTTATCGAAGTAAAAATTGCACGGGCCGCCCTATTTGGTCGCCCCCATTTAACGTAAAAATAGCACGGTATAATCTATTTTCGGACTGGTCATTTAAAAATAGTCAATGTTTACGAAGTCAATGAGAAATAGCCACTATTTTGCTGCAACAGAGATCGGTCCAGCATAATATACTGGAGTTCGGTAAACCTGTGTATGAACTCCAGCATATTATGCTGGACCGGAATACTTTGCTGACTCCAGTATAATATACTGGAGCACCGGTGCTCCAAACTCCAATATATTATACTGGATAATTATACTTGCTGGAACTCCAGTATATTATGCTGGAGTTCGAGTGTACTTATGCTGTAACTCCATCATATTATGCTGGAGTTCCAGCATACTTATCCTGGAACTCCAGTATGATATGCTGGAGTTCAAGCATACTTATGTTGGAACTCCAATATAATATACTGGCGTATTTTCCGGGTTTTGAACATTGTTTTCGCTCAGATTTATCTTTACATGAAAAGTGGCTAAATTTCGATTACTTTTGAAACTGTGCTATTTTTGAATGACCAGTTGTAAATCTGGCTATTTTTGAATTTCTCCCCCATTTAACCTATACCCATTTTTTAAAAAAGTTTTAATTTGTACCAACTTTTTAAACAACTTCAGCCCCCTTTCTCCTCCTCCTTCTCCTCCTTCGTCTTCTTCTTCTTCTTCTTCTTCTTCTTCTTCTTCTTCTTCTTCTTCTTCTTTCTTCTGTTGTTGTTGGTGCTGCTATGAAACTTCAATTCATGGGATGATTGCCATAAATATGTTTATCAGATTATTTAAAAATAAATTATAAACAATTACGTAAGTTAGTAGACAATAATTTGTGAATATTTTCACGTACGTAAGTTAGTAGACAATGATAATTCTGTTCTTTTCACGTTTATTGTTTCCAAAATTTATGATTTAAATACTGTTGGCAATCTGATTATTTATCTAGTATGTTAGAAAGCTTTTTCAAAAGCTTTAGCTTATATAGTGCTGAAGTTTTTACAAATTAACTAAATAACTTCAGCATCTTCTGCCGAAGTTTTTGAAAAAGCTTTATGACAAAACTAATGAATCCAGGACAAAAAAAAACTTCAGCTTTTAGTGCTGAAGTTTTTACAAATGAACTAAATAACTTCAGTATCTTCTGCTGAAGTTTTTGAAAAAGCTTATCCAGGACAAAAAAAAAACTTCAGCTTATTTAGTGCTGAAATGTTTATAAATGAACTAAATAACTTCAGCATCTTCTGCTGAAGTTTTTAAGAAAGCTTAATGACCAAACTAATGAATCCAGGACAAAAAACTTCAGCTTATTTAGTGCCATTACAAACAAAAACTTCAGCAAATAGAGAACAAAACTTCAGCTATTACAAACAAAAACTTCAGCAAATAGAGAACAAAACTTCAGCTATTACAAACAAAAACTTCAGCACACTTGGTTAAGCACATTTGCTACTTCGGGCCCGTCTACTAGCATGCTGAAGTTTTGCGTGATTGCCTTTGCTACTTCAGCCCCGTATGCTGAAGTTACGCGAAAAAGCGGGTACGCTTGCAATTTTTTTTGCAAAGCATGCACAAGTTAAAACGTGACCCAAAAAGCGGGTATAGATGCAAATGCACCTGTAATGTTCTTCTTTATAGCATAAGATATAGCATTATTCAAGTGCAGATACTGTCATATTTGTCATGTGTTGATTTCGTGGTACAGCTTGACATGCAGTTAACTTGTCCTTACTCTTACTATGAAAAAATGGTACTGGTTAAAAAAAGTTTAATCAGTAAAAACTTAGTAAAAACATAAAATTTAATCTCTGAAGTACCAGCCATCTTAAAAGTTGATATTACCAAGGCTTATGTTCTTTTTTGGAAAATCCAACAAAAGGATTAGAGAGATGAATTAGGTCGATAACACTTCCCTTACAGTTTCAACTTCGTTTCTCTTACCTAGTGTTTGGCCATAGATTCCAAATTTGTTTTGAAAAATTTGATTTGGGTGAAGTTTGGTTTGAAGATGAAAATGTATTTGGACATACATTGTCAAAACATATTTTCCAACTTTATTTTGAAAAAACATGTATATAATTCCCAAGTTTTGGGATTTTGGCCCAAAATCAGCAATTGGGGTGATTTTGAGACTTGGGATTTGGGACTTTGCCAAAATGTGGGCAAAATTTATGGCCAAACATGAGTTTTGACAATAAATCCCAAACTTATTTTGACAAAACTCATGGCCAAACGGGGCCTTAGTCGCGGTAATTAGTTCTCAACTTTCTTTTTAGCCATTGAAATTCCACACTTCTCTTAGCGTTTGATTTGAAACTGTGGAAAGAAAAACCATGGAAATCTTTTTTCTCAAAAACCAAACACCAGAGTGGAGTATTCCAGTTTTGGAATGGATGTCTTATCAACATTACCAGAAGAAGTCACTCAGCTTTCCATACAAAGGAGGTGTGTCATAATCTTTAAGTCAATGAACAGATATAATTTAGGATTCGATACATAATTAACAAAACCTAGCCATTTGATCGAGTCAGCAAATTCCTAGCTTGATGTTAGTTCTTTCCATTAACATGGTTGCAACATCAGCGTTTCCGCCTATGTGAAGATACTAAGAACAAGTGAGCAGGTGAGACTTGAACTTCTCTAGTTCATTCAGAACCTCATCTTCGGGTCTGTAAATGAGATCAATCATTCGCCATATCTGCAAAAGGTTGGACCATGAGACTTAAAAATCGTCAATGAAAGATGATAATGCACTATTACACATTATATTTCTTCATGTGTTTTGGACATATTTAGGGCTTTGCATTAAAAGGCAAAATAAACATAGGGTAAATCATAGCTACCGGGTCTTGGATATATTTACGGCTTTGCATTAAAGGGCAAAATCAACATAGGGTGAATCATGGCCTTTTGGTAGCTATGGCGAACTCATGAAGGACCTTTAGGCGAAGAAAATATAAAAAATCATAACTTTTCACAGAGAAAAGCAGGGGCACCATTTTACCTTATCAGGCTTAAACCAAGCTTGACTAAACTACTGTACTACCAATCATCATATACAACTTAATAAACACAGAAGTCTGGGTGAACTGGGAACAGTGTAATTCAGAGTTTAGTTTAATCAGATACTGAGCATTTTTTAATGTATCTGTAGGTCGATTCAGTATGATTATAAAGCAACTAACCAGCAAAATAAACAAGTTTGGCTGTTACCTGTAATGTACCGCCTCCGCCAGTACTTTCACCATCATCTGAAACACTAACAATGGTCCATGGATCTGCTGCATTCCAATGGAAGTCAACCACCTTATCCCTATTTTCAACCACAAAGTCAGAACCTCGATACATGGCATAAGTGAAATTCAGATGCTCTCTGCTTAACTTCAAAGGCATAAAATATACGTGATTTTCTTTCATTTTTAACAAGCATGCATAAATAAAAGTGATAACCCTCTGAACTTCCCTAACGAAAGAGAGAAAGGAGAATTGACTCTGCTCTTAATTATATCCACCATTAGATTTTCATTCTTTACCTTCAGAGTTGGATAGTTAGAGAGAGCAGCTATACTGTCGCTCTGGTTTCTACATCAACAGCAAACAAAAAACAGTCCAATGACCAGCCACCATTGGCCTAGTTCAATTTCACGTGGACATGGTGAGATCTACAATTTATATGAAAAAACCTATGCTGGAGAATCATACTAATCGATGAAGCTTGAGGTGAGTTACGGAGATGTTTCTTAAAGAGATTTGCCAACAAAGGCACATCCCCAAGATTCAAGAAGCTCTTTTTCTAGTATAAACTAGAGGTAGAAACAACAAATTTTGATTAGGTAAAACACAACAGAGAAGTAGAAGAGGATTTCAGTCTCTTTATTATAGAAAACAAAGGTTTTTATGATACAAAAACCTATACGTAGCTCAAGACGAGGGGTCATCTTTGGCAACTAAATAGGGTCAGGGAGGTATCTCCTTGATTAATAGGAGCCGTTTCCAAGTAGTGTTCAATCGATTACGTATTAATCAATATTCGATTGATTGGTCTGAGGTTATCAACAGAAAAGATTTGTAAATACCACAGAACTATTGGTATAGCGAGTTCAAAACCAAAAGCCATTGCGCCTTTAGCCGACTGGGAGGACTCCCTAGAAATTCCTTGTTTAGAGAGTTGTACAATCAATGAAAAGAGCGGACAATACGATTGCTAAGGGTGAGCAGTATCACATGCTCGAGGAAAAGCAGACGAAAACGGAATTAGGAATTCCATTCTCTAAGACGAACTAAAGGAATGTCTCTAAGCAGCCAAGGCCAAGAGCAAGCAGGAGAGGACATTCATATCAAAATATTATTTCCTTTTTGTCTGAAACCTTGGCATATATCTAAATTGTACTCCCGTGGCGAGCTAATGAAAAAGAAAAAACAAAAAAGATGATTTTTGTTTTTTAACAGTTTGGGGAATGGAAGCTTAACTTCCCTTTGGTTCTCCCCTGAAAATGCCCTTCTTTTTGGAGCCCATTTTTAAGAAACTCGGAAAAAAATTAGAAAATTCAAAAAGAAATATTTTATAAGTCTAAAAGTTTCTTTATGATTTTGTGGTTAGTCTTTGAATCTAAAAAGAATCCAGAAAAAAGCTAAGAATTCACCTCGAAGGAAGGAATTCAGAATATTGTTTCCTAATACTGATATCTCAACAACAACAACAACATCCCAGTGTAATCTCACAAGTGGGGTCTGGGAGGGTAATATGTACGCAGACCTTACCCCTACCCCGAGGGGCAGAGAGGCTGTTTCCAGGAGACCCTCGGCTCAAGAGAGCAACAAGAGACAATATATTAGTACTATCAATAGACTCATAATAAATAACATAAAATACATAACATAAAATAAAAAAATAACAACAATATAAGAAATATAGGAAATACGAAAAGGATGGAGAAAAGGATGTAAGAAAAGGATGTTCAATTTCTCAATTTCTCAAAATACTTCAATTGATACACGCAAGAAATAGGCTAATTCAGCAGCCTTTGTTCAATTTCTCATGGACATAGAAGGAAAAGAGAACTAGAACCATGCAAACAAAATTTAATATAAAATAATCAAACTGCAAACTAATACCTATGTCCAGCGTGACGAAAGAATAAGCCAGGAGGAGATGTTGAAGCTTTTCTACCAGCAGAGTCCTCCATCTTACCAATCTGCGAGAACATAATTTTCATTGAAACTACTAACAATGATGTATAATTTCTTTTAACGGTTAAATAGGAACAAAATCCTTAAATTATAACAATGTTGCCACCTGAATGAAGCAAATCATAAGCTATAACCTTGTTAACGATGTCAGTTAATGGATAATTCCAAAAAGTAAAGGCTTACTACTATTGCGAACCTAACAAATAATGATGCCTTATTACAACAACCACCCTGTGTATTCCCACGAGTGGGATGGAAGGACAAAGAGGTTGTTACCGATAAAAAAAAGATGAAAAAACACTAATAGCAAGTAACAACAATACAAGATATTTAGAAAACTGAAAACCAAGATAACAAAAGAAAAGATGAAAGAAGTACCGATAGCAAGTAATAACAATACAAGGAAGACAAAGGGAAACGCTCGACTACCTACTAACTTTCTACCTTAATTCTCAACATCCACACCTTCCTATCAAGGGTCATGTCCTCGGTTAGCTCAAGCCGCACCATGTCCCGCCTGATCACCTCTCCCTAAGACTTCTTTGGTCTACCTATACTCTTCCTCTTATCCCCGAGGCCAACCTCTCACACCTCCTAACTGGGACATCTGTGCTTCTCCCTTTAACATGCCTGAACTATCTTAGCCTCACATCACGCATCTTATCCTCCACGGGGGTCGCTCCCACCTTATCCCGATTAACTTCATACCTAATTTTATCTTACCTAGCATGCCCACACATCCATCTCAACATCCTCATTTCAACTACTTTTATCTTCTGGACATGGGAGTTCTTGACTGGCCAACACTCTGTCCTATGGCTGTCCAACGGGACGGGTCGGCCTGGCCCATCTCGGCCCCAATCCCGTCCTGGACCACTTACTCTCAAACGGGACTGGGCCCATAGTCAACAAGACATGGATGGAACGGGATGCCCATTTCATCCCGGTGGGCCAGGCCGCTAACGTCCGATCCCGCCTGGCCCACGTGTTTGTTTTTGTTTAAAAAAAGAGTCGTTGGCCAACGGCATTCTTTGCAAAATTAGTCGTTGCCAACGGCCATTTTTGACCCCACCCCTCCCCTAAAAATGTATTATTGCAACTATTGTTCTACAAATAGTTAATTTTTATGGGCTTATTGATAAAGTTTTTACTATCACATTAGATAATGTTTCTGCTAACACAACTGCAGCAAATAGCCTAAAAGCTAGACTTTGTCCAATTAATCCAGCAGTTTTCCGTGTTAGATGTGCATGCCATATTTTTAACTTGGTTGTAAAAGATGATATTAATTTATTTTTTAGGCTTGTAGTAAAGTACAACATGCTTGCGGCTATATTTTTCATGCTAATAAAGTGAGTAGACTTCGTGAGTTTGCACAACAATGTGCTAGTGCTAACCTTCCATATAGAAAAATTCCAAAATATGTTTGTACTATTTTGGAAGGTGGGGAGTTCTTGGTGGGAAGGATGTCGAGGGTCTATTTGGAAACAGCCTCTCTACCTATGGTAGGGGTAAGGTCTGCGTACACACTACCCTCCCCAGACCCCACTAGTGGGATTATACTGGGTTGTTGTTGTTGTTGTTTGTACTAGGTGGAATTCTACGTATGAAATGCTTAAAGTTGCTTATAATTATCAGGTGCCTATACAAAAGGTATATAATATGCATAATGGTATCCCCGCTGATCAAATTGTTGATTCTAATTGGGATGGGATCAAAGACTTACTAACTATTATGGTATATTTGTGGAATTTCTGTTGTATTTGGTAAGTATAAAACAAATCCAAAATGAAATGATTGCAAAATTTAAAAAGTATTTTTTTCCTATTCCCCAAGTTTATTAAATTTCTACTTAACCCATCTTTAAAATTAAGAGGTGCAAAGGAATTGTTCGTAAAATTTATGAGAATTTAGAAATTCAAGAAAATGAACAGTCATCTCTCGAAGACTGTCAAGCTAACATATATTCTTATGTTAGATCAATGTTTGATAGTTATAAATATATGGCAACAGCAGCTAGTGAAAATGCTCATACTAATTCTAAGGCTAGAGTAGAAGTTATATGGGAAGGTACGGAGGATATAACAAGTTTTGATTCCTCTATTAATGATGAACTTGATTCTTATCTTAATCAAGGATTAGAATGTATTAAAGACGAAAGCAACGAACAACTTTTGGCATGATAAAGGGAGTGTGACAAAGCATTTCCAACACTTTCAATAATGGCCCGAGATATACTAGCTATTCAAGCATCATCGATAGCATCGGAGAGTGCTTTCAGCGCGGCAAGATTTCAAATCGGAGATCATAGACATTCATTAGCGAAGGACAGCCTTGAGATTTCCATCTTATTCAGAGATTGGATTAATTCAGAAAGAAGAAATCTTGATTTTGAAAAATTAATCACTAGGGAAGAAGAAGAAGAAGAATACATTGAGATACTTAGCACTGGGAGCGATAACGGCATGGAACTCATGGAACATCAATTAACATTGCCAATTCAAGAACAATGTCCGAGAGAAATTATAGATAAGTTACAACGAAGCTATATAGGAGCTTACAAATATTAGTATGATAATTTGTAATTGGCTACTAAGAGGCCTAGTTCAAACAGAACTCTTCCTAAAAGGCGGCTGCGTAGATTAAGTGCTCTTCAAAAGACTTGTATTTGTATGTGAAATCTGACAGTTCTATTAATAAAATATAAGGCTTTAGCCTTGAATTTTTTTTATAAATTGTCTTACACTCTTACTTAGTTAATTTATAACTTGAAATTATATTAAAATAAATTACAAGTCTATTATAATTACTAAAATATTTCGTTACAAGTCTTTTGTTTTAATATTTGAAATTATTTACTTAGTTTCTTTATAATTTATTAAGTTTTAAGTTTATTAAATAAGTCAAAAAAACTAGCCGTGCAAACTTTAAAAACTTAGTCATTGCCAACTTTAAAAAAAAAATAACCGTTGCTATCTATAAAAAATTAGTCATTGCCAAATTTAATGCTTAAATAATTTAAAATTTTTTAAAAAAGGTTCACTTAGGGCCCACGAACCGTCCCGTCCAGTCCCGTTTATTAGTGGGATGTGATGGGCCTACCGGGTCGTCCCGTTAACGCCTGTCCCGCCACCGTCCCGGTTAAATGTCGTCCTGTCCCGTCCAGATTATTTGTTCCCGACCCGTCCCGTTGGACAGCCTTACTCTGCTCCATACAACATAATCACTCTAACCACTACTTTGTAGAAATGATGCCTTAATAGGGAAACAAAAAGGAGCTTAAATGGTACCCAAAAAATCGCAGTCACTTCTAACTTGATTGCCAAATTTAGACCCTATTTGGTTTTATGCATACTATCTCTACTTATTTGAATCATTGGATAATATATTTTTATTACTTTATGCAAGTCACGGAAGTGAATTTTCAAACACAAAATCAAATTGATCTGTGTCATTAACTAGAAGAACTTCCTTAGCATATGGTTCATGAGGAAAAGGAAAAAAATATAAGAAGATAACCAATTAAATTGAAATACAAAAAGAACTAACAATCTTTAGCTTTTTNCACCCCACCCACACACACACACCCAAAAGAAACACGAGAGGAAAGGATCTCTAACCTTGTCATAATCCCAGATGTTAAGGATACCATCTTCTGCAGAACTTCCAAAGACTGATGATTTATCTGGGGACCACTGAAACAGAAAATTTTTATCAAACACCAGTGCAGGTCTCATGCAAATAGGTTACCTTATCAACATAAATAAGGGTGGACAGCAAAAGCAAGCAAGCATGTCAGTTACTCTCAGACCTGTACACAAAGCACAGCAGCAGTATGGCCCTCAAAGATATGTATAGGCGATCCCACTCCCCCAGAAGTGAGGTTTCGTCGATCAAACATGCGAACAGTGTTGTCTGCCGACCTGAAGGAGGCATAGCTATAATCTTAAGGCTTCCACAGAAATTGAAAAGAATTCATGGAATCATGGAACCAGACATTCACATAAAGGGAAAAAACAAGGATCGACACTACATAAATATTGCAGAAAGCTTAATGTATTTTCTGAGGATCAACCTACTTAAACATCATAATTCAACAGGACGAACAGTTACAATCATTACCCAGTCAAAATATAATTTACATCGTGAGGATTCCAATCAACACAATGAAGATCAGCGTTATGAGCCTTTTCTACCTGCAGGGAAAATTATCAGATCCCAAAGTCCAATCAGAGACATGACTATGACCAATGAAACAGAAATAATATAGTAACGATTGTAGTAATAATAATAATTAGAAAAAGAAAGGAGACATTTCAAGGAATGCATAAAGAACAGATATGTTAATGGAAAGACTAATAATAAGTGTAATATAAATGTAGGACAAAACTGAGGTTTACTTGGTGGAATCCTATTTGAAATGTTTAATCAACTTTAAATAGGGCCAAAGAAAAAATGTGTTACATCCATTAAGCCCATAAGTCATTTTCTACAGCAACCTCTATCTAACTAGTCAAACTCACTTGCACTTACCAATATCTAAGAATTATCACCACCTTATAACAATTATCCATCACCATTTTTCCTAAATCCTACTGCTACTCGCTACCAAATATCGCCAAGATTTACTACTCAAGCTTAACTAAACTCAAGAACACGGTTCAGAAAACAAGTTTTTCTCATATAATGTGCCACAAAAAATATTGAAGGAACAATGACCAGAAGCAACCAAAAATAACTGCAAAGACAACAGATTACTAAAGCATTTCAACATAGATAGATAGGATCCAGTTGAAGAAAAGACATCGGAAGGTCAATCACAAATGCCTTATCTGTACAACCATATCTGGCTCATTGTCTCCCCACCTCTAATATTTCAATTTTATACGTGTTGCAAACTAAAATATTTACTGCCTACCTATCTGATATTACAAACTACAATATGAAGAGCAGGCAATATGACAGAAACCCCCTCCTGACCTCCCCACACACAAGCACAGAGGTCAGAGATCTTTAGTATGATTTTCACTAGAAATAAGGAGAAGTCATTTTTAATATAAGCACAAATCAAGAGAAGTTCTCCACTTATCCACAAAGAGAAAATGTAGAAAACAAGATAAGTTACTAAGTGCTTGAGCAAAAACAATGATTACAACCTTGACAGCAGGAGAAGAACCAGTTCTGGCATCCCACAGTATTAGGCAGGAATCATCTCCAACACTGCAAAACTCCTGTGCACTTTATAAAAAAAAATAAAAAAGGAATCCAGTAAGGATACGTGAAGCCAGGATAAGAGATGAACAAATAACTTTTTTCTTCTTTCCTCACTATTCGTTTTTCTCTTTATCTTTTATTTGAAAAGTGGTCAGAAAGCTACTTCATCCAGGGAAAAAAAGACGAAAAAGGAATAGAATGGCTTAATTTTGAAACTCATAAGACATAATACAGAAGAAAAGAAGTTTAGATGTGAAATGACAGCTCAAACGAGTATTATCTCATCTTCAACCAAGGTTACATTACACAAATGTTTTGACAGTGTTAACCCCAAACAACATCAAGTCTCACAACACCTAACGAAACACTGAAGGGCTAAACTCAACATCTTATACAATATATGATATGTGATAAACATGAGCTACCTGGAAGGGCAAAACTGAACATCTTCTACGGTATCATCATGTCCTTGGAAAACACCTCGAGCTTGAACAGTAGGGCCTTCTGCAGAAGGTTTCGAGTTACTTGCTCCAGATCCAGGAGACTTTGTAGCTCCCTGGTCTGCTGCTAATGTTGACACATGGTCGTGAATGCTCCACAGAACAACCGATTTGTCCTTCCCTGCAACAATTAACCCATGAGTGCATGAGCTTTATTATACACAAGATCGAAAAGTTTCTAATATCTGAGGTAAGAACTAAAGGAGGTCATATTAATTGACTGCAGGCATCAATGACAGGAAGAGGCTGAACTGTGATGTGGTCCAAAAGTTTCCCCCTAACTCCCTACGTTAACTATAGATCTCCATTAAGGAAAAGTATTATAGTCCCTCCAACACAATTCATAAGACACACTTCTAGAAAGAATAATATACCATAAAACTCTTATATCTTTCAGAACATACAAAGTTATAATTCAACTTTAAACCATAATATGATGTTCTTCATCAAACTAACTTATCAACAACTACCCTGATTAGATTTTGTGCCAACTAGGTTGTGTCATACATTGTTACTCTTTGAAACGAAATTATGGGGTTGAAAGTGTGCACTATACTGGTCTCATTTTACCTAGCCAGAAGGAATACACCACTAAAACAACTCAGGCGTCAAAAAGAAGGAATTGTTTCATAACGAATAATGCGGACTTCCCTGGTAGCTGAAAATTGCTATCTAAGGAATAAGTTGCAAAAACCATATGACTCGGCGGCTTTATCACCACCTTCCACCAACGACCAGAACATGTCACTAAGAAAATAAGCTAAAAAGAAATAGAAAATATCTGAAGACCGCCAACTGGTTACCAATTATAAAACGACACATTATCTGTTAATAAACATGCAGTTAACCATGAGCTGCTAATTGGAATAGAAGCAATCACAAAATCCTTGAACGAAGAGAACATTCAATGACTGGTCGGTCAACCTCCAGAGAGCACAAAAGGCTCAGAAGGGCACATAGCGAGCGCAAATTCAGCATTGTCTTGATGTCCAGTCAATATCTGCAGGTAGATATAGACTATAAGTTACTACTTATAAGATACAAAGTTGGAAAACTGAACCTGTCGTTAGAAAACCCACCAAGTCCGGTCGAGAATTATTTACGCCCAAGGTAGCATGACGGTTAGGCTGAGACTCAACATCCCAAATAAGAACCTGATTCCAAAATTTCCAAGGTCAACTTAAAGATTTCAATGGTTACTAAAAAGAAACAGCAGCCATCAGGGAGGAAACCAACTTGTATGAACAGGGCTACAAAAGGAAAATGAAATATGCAGAAGCAGATGCTTACATCAGGACTGTCAGTGTGTGTGGCCACAATCTTGCTATCCTGAGGCAGTTCCCTTATTCGATTCACCTGAAATCATATTATAGAATGCTAACAGATTTGTTAAAGCAGATTATAGTATTTCAAGTACATATTCCATGTTATGAATGCTTCTGTAATTGATTTTCTTAAGCAACAAGGGTCAAGTATTTACCATTCCTATAGTGAGTATAAGAAAGGAGAACAATTAGTATAATTGTAAGGATTCAGCAAGATACAGTGATCAATTCATTTTCACATGAGAAAGTTCCACTGACACCAAAAGAATCACGAAGAACAAAAAAGTTGCACAAATACATTGGAAACATTCTATGTGGAAAATAATTTTCCCCTCTGAATGAGGGGAAAATATGTATATCAGAAGTTCAAAATAATGTAACCAGAATTTTGGGCCTATAGGCGCTAATAATCCTTTTGAATTGAATCTCTTCTAAGTCCACTTCAAAATTTATGACGCCACATTATCTGTGTTGGGGAACACCGCCTGGTTTGGTTTATGCTATATGTTTCTAATTTAATTGTTTTTTGGCTTGCTACAATATGTTTCACCAATTTTTCCTCCAAAGATATCCATGCAAGAGTAAGTAATTAACAGTCAACATTAATCCAGAGTCTAAAGCAGGAATTAAGTATAAAACCATGTGAGAAATTTCCATATAAGCACCTAATTTCAAATATTTGGTAATAATTCTAGATGACAAAACAAAATGCATTAAACGCTCAGCTGCATTAGTGATGAGACAAGCTACCAGCGGAAAATAACCATTCAGGAAATTATACTAACTGAACAGCAGAAGTCCTCAAGTGCACTGCCTGTATTCTAGTGTAACACAAAATTTTAACAGTATAATCTAATTATGAAATAAACCAGAAAGGGAAAATTTCATGTTTGAATCCTATAATAAGATAGGTCAAAGAAAGATGTACCTCACCCGGATGAATAATAGTTTTGTACTTCTTTACAAAAGGCGAACGTGCTTCTTCGTTGAACTGAAAGATAGACAATCAAGATCATAAAAAGTGAAAAGGTGGAGGAAGAAATAGGAAGGGCGTGTATCTATGCACAAGGAGAATACCTGAGATATGTGTTGCGCTGCTGCAACCCTAGGTTTGACAACTTCACAATTAGCTATGACAAGCGTATTTGGAACGCTGCCATCAGTCTGCAGGGGAGAGGAATAATAGGATCCAAATAAAGATTATGATGAGAATAGAGATGACATTTAGCAGTGATGTAAGAAAATAATGAGATGATTGAACTGAAAGGATAATAACAATAACTACCACACCAACAAGGATTCTAAAGCAACAACTGAATAAATAAATATTCTTGACGCTTCCAGTTCGCTACTTACTAACCTTATTTATAAGAATATTTATCAAGGCTAATCTAACATATTTTCATCATTAAAACATAACATATAAATGACAAGTTAATTAAAGGACGTGAAATGATAAACTTGCTTGCTCAGAAAGGTAGAGGCGCTGGCGGTTCTTGTAAGTTGCTTGCTCAAACTGGGGACCCCAACTGAAAGAGAGAAACAGTAATTTTCATTTATTAGTATCTATAGATAAGCAACCAAAGAAGCAATTCCATCTACATGAAGAAGCTGCAATCTCAGTAAAACTATTAAATCTCTAAAGAGAGATCAAAACAGACACATCAGCAAAGAAAGAAAGAAATATAAAAACCTAATGGCAGGAATCAGCAATCAAATACGCCAGACAACCTGCATTCCAACAACAGATGAACCAACAACAGATGAAGGAAAAAATTATGAAACAAGTATTATGAAACTCCAAGTGGAAATTCAGCAACTGGCTAAAGCAGAAGAAGTATCTTGGAGACAAAAATCTCGATGCTTGTGGCTCAAAGAAGGGGATAGAAACACCACATTCTTTCATAAGGTGGCCAATTCCAACAAAAGAAGTAATTGTATTGATAGACTCAAAGTTGGGGATGACATCACTGAAGATAAAGATCTAATTAGGGGTGAGATTTTAGAATTTTATCACCAGCTCTACACTGAGAATGAAAGCTGGAGACCTACCACAAGACTGGAAGATGTAGCAACATTAAATGGGGAAGAGAAAGTATGGCTGGAAAGGCCATTTGAAGAGGCAGAGGTTTTGGCTGTAATTAAGAATTGTTCACCTGATAAAGCTCCAGGTCCGGACGGATACACTATGGCATTCTATCAGAAAGCATGGGAGGTGATCAAGTATGATATCATGGGAGCCCTTCAGCACTTTCACCAGGACGGCAACCTAGTTAGATCATGCAATGCCACTTTTATAGCACTAATCCCGAAGAAGAAAGGAGCCAATGAGCTGAGAGATTACAGGCCAATCAGTTTGATTGGTAGTATTTACAAAATTGCCTCCAAACTCTTAGCAGAAAGGTTAAAAGGGGTGATAGGAAAATTGGTGTCTAGTCATCAAAATGCTTTCATAAAAAATAGGCAGATCACAGATGCAGCTCTTATAGCTAATGAGATATTGGATTGGAAGATGAAGTCTGGGCAATCTGGTCTACTTCTCAAACTTGACATAGAAAAGGCATTTGATCAACTTAATTGGACCTATCTGATAATTACACTAAGAAGGATGGGATTTGGTGAATGTTGGATTAGATGGATCAGATTTTGTATCACTACAATGAAGTACTCAATCCTGATCAATGGTGGACCAGTTGGATTCTTTTCTCCCCAAAAAGGCGTCAAACAGGGAGATCCTCTGTCTCCTTTCTTATTCATCCTTGATATGGAAGGGCTTAGCAAAATGTTAGATAAAGCAAACCAGCTTCATTGGCTAGATGGTTTCAAGGTGGGAAGTACATATGACAACTATGTTACAGTCTCCCATCTGCATCTCATCTACTCTATGCAAATGATACTTTGATTTTTTGTGGAGCTGAAAAATCACAGGTCTTATACCTCAATCTTACACTTATGATCTTTGAAGCTATCTCAGGCCTACACATGAACATGTTGAAGAGCATCATCTACCCAGTCAATTCAGTTCCAAACTTGGAAAAGCTTGCGGAAATAATGTGCTGTAAGGTGGGCTCTTTCCCTACAACATATATGGGTATTCCTCTGGGAGCTAGATACAAAGCTCTAGGTATCTGGAATGGAGTAATTAAAAAATTTGAAAAAAAGTTAGCTTCCTGGAAAATGTAGTATCTTTCTCTGGGTGGTAGAATTACACTCATCAATAGTGCGTTGGATAGCATTCCTACCTACTTCTTGTCCCTGTTTCCAATCCCAGCTAAGGTCCAGAGGAGACTTGATCAACTAAGGAGAGATTTTCTATGGGAAGGAAATAGTCAAACACACAAATTTCATTTGGTTATGTTGACATACAAGTTGTCTAGCACATGTATACACATGTACTACATCATAGCTAGCACATGTATATGAGTTGTATAGTAGGTGTAATACAAGTTGTGTAGCACATGTATACACATGTACTACATCATAGCTAGCACATGTATATGAGTTGTATAGTAGGTGTAATTAGGTGTATGGCAACTAATAGATTAGGTGAATTAGTATTATAAATAGGCCTTGTAATCTTCTCTTCTAAATATGAAATATAGAGCTTCTTTGGTTTCTAACATGGTATCAGAACATTGAAGTTTTTTCATCAGTTTGTTGTTGGGAATTTTTTTTTCCCCGTTCGAATTATTTTTGTTCAGAACAGTCTTTCGCTGCTTTGATTCTATTTCACTATTTCTGGCCATTTTTTGCCCCGACCGCTTCTTTACAGATTTTTCTACTCACTATTCCGACCAAAGTGGTACTGTCCGAATTTTTTTTTTTTCCTGACAACTTTCATTTTCCAAGATCACTGTTCCGGCACTGTTCACTGTACTGTTCACTGTATTGTTCACTGTTCACTGCTCACTGCACTGTTCAAATATCACTGTTCACTGTTCACTGCATTGTTCAAATTTCACTGCACTGTTCTTGACTATTTGATTCTGCTATTATTCGGGTGCAAGATGACTGAAACGAAACCTACCGTTGATGTCATTCCGGTTATGTCCAAAATTACGGAGAATAAGTTCATGGGTTCCAATTACATGGATTGGAGTAAGACGATCCGTCTCTATTTGCGGAGCATCGACAAAGAGAACCACTTGGTTGATGATCCACCCAAGGATGAGACTAAATCAGTCTGGTTAAAGGAGGATGCAAAATTGTTTCTCCAAATCAAGAATTCGATGCAC